CAAATAATTGGAAATCATTCTCCGAATGAACCATGTTTAGGAGTCCAGACTGTTCTACGTGTGTCTTTGTACACTGTATATACTTAGTAAGTTACCCACATAAGATGTACAGGAACAAACATGTCAGGGAGAGTAAGAGCAAACAAGTTACACATAAGTCTTGACACTTTGGTGAAACAAGAAATTGACATTGAAATATTGCTTGTCATGAGACAAAGTTGTGGACCCAGACACCCATTTGTGTAAAATGTGATTTGAACATGTGGTTAGACTTATTCAAATCACATGTGAAAGTTGACTAGTTTATAAAAGCAAAAAATATTAAATTTGTATGCTATTTTTGATATGATCTTTTTAATATCCTCCTTCAGCACTACCATTATTAACAGGTACTGAAAATAAAAGCTTAACATTTTGAATGATTCACTGTTGAGCATAAAAACATGACACCAGCAACACACTTCTCCCTGACTCACCACAGTATGTAAATGTGGTTTAGCATTTCTGGTAGGGGTGGGTATGAGGAATCGGCTGTGTGGAGACTGGTTCTGTTTCATTCCTCATGACCGCCAGAGGAGGAGCTAAGCACTAGTGGATAATCGCAGCGTCAACTAGGTTGAGAAAATACAAAAACATGTCGGTGCCCAGCCTCTTTTCGCTTCTCGCTTATTATAGGTTGTTTATTTATTACATAAGTACATATTATATTTGATTGTTTGTGTCAGCGATACACTGTGCTTCACAGTACTATCCGGTGACTGGTCTCGGCTACACATAGGTAGCATTTCCACTGCAAACCTAATATAATTTTTTTGTGCTTTTTGTTGCATATCACTGTTGTGCTTGTTAACGTATGCCACTCGGTAATATCCAAAGGTAAGTTTGGTAAATTTACGTGTGATTCTGAGTCTGTTTTCAAGATTATAACCTTCTGGTTCTATCCGAGGATTTTTTCGTCAACCTCCAGGGCTGGAATTAATACAGTTTTAGTTCATGGCTCATGGTTTGCTTATCTCCGACTATCCACAGAGTTGCAAATTATCTCTGAACACACGTCTTCCCGATGATGGACACGATTGCTGCCTTTCTTGCTTAGGGATTCAGCATCTAAAAGAGATTTTGACTGATCCGTGTTTGCATTTTGAGAATGTTATCGATGTCTGAGAGACAGCTTAGCCATGCCGAACTGGATCCTAATTCGACTGCTAGACTTGCACAATATGACTCAGCCCCGCGGCTGCCGCGCATCAGTGCTGCTGGCGCTCTGCCAGCAAAAAAAAAAAATCAGAATCAGCATTTGCTATCGAAGACCATCGCTACTCTGTCTTAGGAAATGGCAGAGCTGAAACGTCTTCTTCAATCTCTACAACCTCTAGTACCAGCCACGCCAGCAGACAACACACCAGGAGATGAGAGTGTTCTTCAACATCCAGATCTGGATGCCATTTGATTGAGTGCATCTAATTCGCATTTCCATCATGGTCTCATGGTGTTGTCTGCTGGCGTGTCATGCAACCCCACCAACAGGATTTCTTTACCAGCCTGTCTGCTGCAGGTGGATCAAGCGAAGCGGATGGTCTGTACATTCATCGGGCATATGCCCATCTTCTTCAGATGATACTTTATCAGTTTTACAGATAGCAGTGGCATGTTTAGGGTTCGACAAACCGCTTGTTCAGCCTGTTCAGACCAACAGGCAAACCTCTGATGCTAATGTATTTTTCAGGCAAACCTCTGATGTTAATGAGTTTACTATGCCACCATGTAAGGACTTTGTGGCAGAATTCTCCAGTGCACTCCCAATAAAGGAGGTCAAAGACAGCCCGTACGCTAGCTTCAATGGCCGAGGCTGATTCCATTGGAGTAGGGCGGGCACCTGAGATCGAACAGCCAGTAGCAGCATTGGTGGTATCACCTGATGAAGCACTAAGAGGTAATGTATGCTGCCCAAGTGCACAATGTGGACATACTGACGCATTGTTGAAGAAGACATATGAGTCAGTAGCCTATATAACTTGAGCAGAAAATACTATCTGCCAGCTGCTGCTTGCTTGCAACACCACCTTAGAATCATCGAATGCAGACCTTCAGTACCTCAGTTCCCTCAGACTGCTCTGTTGGCTATGGGACATATGACTCGTGAGCTTGGGACGCTCTCAGCGACACTTCTAATATCTCTGCGCCAGGTATGGCTTGCTCAGGTAAGATTGCCTGACGATTGTAAGAAGATGCTGAGGGAACTGCCAATTATGCCAGGACATCTTTTTGGCCCCAATGTATCTAAGGTATTAGAGAAGAGAATGAAGTTGTCTGAAGCCACACGACAACTGACTCAGGCCTCACAGGCACCCTCTTTTAGGATGGTTTCTTCAGCTTGTGTCCGGACATTGAAACCCTGGAAACGGTTGACATTTGGGCCGGAGTACCACTAGGAGTTGTGTGTTCTCTTTGGGAAGTGATAAAAACCGATGCTTCAATAGGATGGGGGGCAACGTGGAACGAGAGGGGGATCAGCGGTCGTTGGTAACCAAAGGAAACCTTGGAGCATATCAGTGTGCTGGTCAGGTCCGACAACATATCGACAGTGTTTCACTTGAATCACCAGGGCGGAACCAGGACTCTTGCATCCTTACGGTTAACTTGTAAAATCCTCAGGTGGTCTCAGTATCAGCTGGCCTCATTAAGAGCAGTTCATCTCCCAGGATCAGACAATCAAGTGGCGGATGCGTTGTCCAGGGATCTACTGTCCGGGGGGGGAATGGACACTTCACCTGGAGGTAGTACAGCTGATTTGGCAGTGGTTTGGCAAGGCAGAGGTCAACCTGTTTGCCTCAGAGCTGACTACTCATTGCCGCTGGTGGTTTTGACCATGGCTTTGGATTTGGCCACTGGGTCCAGTTCACTGTCAGAGGACTGTGAGCCAGTGGTAATTCATACTATTGGTAATTCTAGAGCTCCTTCAACTCGACAAATTCATGCTGCTCTTTGGAGGATATTTTATTCCTGGTGTGGGGATCAAGGAGTTGATCCAATTCACTGTTTTGTGCCGCAAGAGATAAAAACAAACAAACAACAATTGTTAGATAAAAACAAAGCGGCATCTACTTAAAAAATTTGTGTTGCTGCCATATCTGCTCATCATGCCCCAGTTGATGGTTCTTCCTTGGGGTCTGGAATTGAGCAGTGTAAGAACTGAAAGAGTGCTACAACAGAAACTAAACCCTAGCCCAACCCCTAACCAATTAGAAAGACCTTTATCAATGCCTTTCGGCCCGCCTTAATCTTTCACCATGCCCACTGCTCCAGCCGGCAGTTATCCCTACTTGGAGGATTCAGGGGTCATTCTTCAACCTAACCCTGCTTTTCTTTCTAAAGTTTTGTTACCGCAATTTTTTTGTGAAAAAAAAAAAAAAATTGTGAATCAGTCTATTCATCTTGCTGCTTTTTAAATGCCCTCATCTCCTTCTAATTCCAATGGGAGGGCTCATCTTCTGTGTCCTGTGCGTGCTTTAAGGTGCTGTTACATCTACAACCTCTTTTAGACAGACAGATCAATTATTTGCCTGTTATGGTGAGGTACGTAAAGGCATGCCCTTGTCCAAACAGAGACTGTCACATTGGATAGTCAAGGTAATAAAAATGGCATATAAGCATCAACGAACGACCCTTACCTGTCATTCTACTAGGGCTGTCTCTTTATCTTGGGCCACTTTGCGGGGTGTCTCCTTGGCAGAGGTCTGCGCTGCTGCTACCTGGTCTTCTCCATATACCTTTGCACGATTATATAAGGTCAATGTGGCTGCTTCCCATGATGTGAGTTCTTCAGTCTTTCTGGAGCAACCTTGATGATTCCTCATGACTGTGTTGGTATGTGTCATCCACTAATGCTTAGGAGGAATGAAACAGAATGCTAGTTACGCATGTAACTGTGGTTCTGTGAATTCTGGATGACCACCAGGGTTCGTCACTCGGAATGCACGAGAAGTGTTCCAATGCTGGGCACCAAGCTACTGCGGTTTATATCCTTGTGGCTCGGTCTGTCACGACGTGACCTTGTTGACATATTTTCTCGACCTATCTGACATTGTGATTATCCACTAGTGCTTTGCACCGCCTCTTCCGGTCATCCGAAATTCACAGAACCACAGTTACATAAGTAACTAGCGTTACCATGGTACCAACAGTTGTGTGTGTGATGATAGTAGTATGATAGGCATGCATGATGTGCTGGACCAAAAAAAAAATCCGATCCATGGAGGTCCCACCTCACACAACTTGCAAGATTTATAGTACCTGCTGCTCATGTCTCTGTGCCAGATACCACAGGACATGTTCAGAGGTCTTGTGGAGTCCATGCCTCAATGCATCAGAGCTATTTTGGCAGCACACAAAGGACCAATATTAGGCAGGTGGTTTTAATGTTGTGGCTGATCAGTCTATGTAGGCCTACAAGGATTTAAATATGTGTATTTTTTTGATACTGTAGATTGAAATTAAAATATGACATTAACTTTGCAAATTCCAAAGTTTCCAAACAGTGCTGTTTAATTAACAAATTCTGACTTTTAATTAGTAACCAGGCGCCTATTGTATCCGTTAGTTTTCTTAATATTCATAATTTGTTTTCATTATATAAGCCTTTGTATTTGACCTGAAATATTTTTACTTGCATTATTGAAATAAAAATAATTTTTAATTTATGTATGAATTTATGCATATATACAAGACTTCTTCCCATACAGGAGCTCTGTTTGCCCCAGCCAAACTTGTTAATACTATACGTTAATCTGCTGTATCAACAGATACAATCTGAGGTTCAAATTAGTACAACTGGTTTCTTTATTTAGTTAATAATTTTTTATTTTTGCTATATTAAGTATTTAAAATCATGTTTCAGTTTCACTAAATCTGTGCACTTGTGCTTCACCAAAAAAATTTAGTTAAATAAATCAACAAACCTTAACCTACCAGTGTTTCCATTTAAAATGTCATCAAAATTGAGTCAAACCTTTATTTGAGGTTCAATAAAGATTTGTCCAATGTTATGTAAAAACATTGTGTAAATTTACTGGGATGTGAACATTTCATAATTGCAATATATAAATGACCAAATTTTATAGCTGGTGTTTTGGCCCAAAATGTTTGTCAAGGCATTGCATAAGAAATGGTTTCAACAACAACTTCTGACTGAATACAAATAAAACAATAACATTTAGCTTAAAGAGCACGATGAAGGTTACCAAGCTGTAAACATTTCAATTAAAAAATAAAAATAACATATCTGAAACACCATCACAGTAGCCCTTAAAAGTATAATCATTCTTTAGACAGATCTACAAATATACAGATCTGACAATTATACACAATTTCAGTGCAGTTAAAATACCAGATCTCTCTGGAAATAATCTGAAACGATCAAAGGCTGTGTGTGAAGTGAACAGTGAAGGAGACAAAGAGAAAAGTGTGATTGTACACAGTAAGAATGACTTCTTACATGTCATTTTAAACCTGGATAAACAGAATCAATGACAAGACCACAGCTGGAGAAGCTTATAGTTGATCTGCAGTTCTTCACTTAGAGTCCATTGATGCTGCCACTATGCCGTGCTGTCTTAACTGGGCTCCGATCATCTGATTCTTTGATTTCCATTCTTCCATCTGTGTGTGTAGGTGGAGGAGAGACATAAGAGAGAGACAGACCAACTGTATGAGCAAATGAAACAGCGTTGTTCATTTTCTTTAAAACATTCACACAACATAAAAAAAAAAAGTGCAGAACTGATGGATGCATGACTTCAGAAGTACTATTAGCAGCAGCAGCAGTTGTTGTGGTTATAGTGGAAGCTGTGGTAGCTGGTAGTCATCATGTACTGTTCATTAACAAAGTATTTGATTCCGAAAATATGCTTACAATGTAAGTTTTATCAAATGAATGAATAACTAAAATGTTCAGAACGCTCTTTCATTTGAAGTGTCTTGCTGTGGCAGCTGAAATACCTCGTTTGAGAAGCTGATTGTCCATCCTCAGTCTATCTACAGCATTTAGTTCCTCTTCCAGTCGTGCATTGCTCTGACGCAGCTCTTGAATATAATCACACGCTTTGGACAAGATCCAACCTTTACTCTGCACAGAAGAGCAGAAGACAATCTGAGGCAACATTTCTAATTTTCATTTAGTTTAACTAAACCTTTTTGAAAAACAAAAATAACTAAAAGTAAAACTGATAAAAAAATATTAATCTAAACTATAAAGACAAAAAATAAATAAAAATGACAAACACAAAATTACTAAAATTAAAAAATTAAAATGAAAACTAAAATAAATAAAAATATAAATAAAAGAAATAATAATTATAGTATCCCCGTTATACTACAAAAATACTGTACATTATACCTTTGAATAAAATGCTCAAACTGGACACTGCTGGTGGCTTGTGCTAACTAAGCTTACTTGACCATTCTTGGTTGCATCCACATTGCAGTCAGGGATTGTTTTGGAAAGCTGGACAATCCAGTTGTTGATCTTGTCCCTCCGTCTGCGTTCCACTGAGGGGGAAAAATGCTTACATTAAGACAGAACTCAACGACACATTTAAAGATCTTTTTCAGTCTAATTTGAAATAAAGCAGCAATGATTAGATTAGGGGTGTAATGGTTCAAGTTTCTTATGGTTTGGTACATACTGCGGTTTTGGGGTCACCATTTCGGTATGGTTCGGTATGGGGGGGTAAAGGGGAGTATTAGTGGTATTAGAAATCTCAAGAATAATTTACTATTTACTAACAAAAAATAAATAATTATAATAATTAATTAATTTGCCTTAAGTTTTTTTAATTACTAAAAAAAGATTATAGATAATAAATAGAAACTAAAGCACAAAATTATAATCGGATTACAATTAATGTTCTTAAAAGGAATAAAACTCAGGGTAAATTTGATGTCTGACAACAAATATAGTATATACTAAAATACATATTTCAGTTAACGTAATTGCTCTCCTTTCTGATGCGCTCCATCGTGCAACGCACATTGTTAAGTCTTTTAATTAATTTAAAGGAGACATATTATGCCCCTTTTTACAATATGTAATATAAGTCTCTGGTGTCCCCAGAATGTGTCTCACCCTTGTTAATCAGCTATCATTTCCCTCTGATTTTAGGAATAAATTATGGGTAGGGTAAGGTTAGGTTTAGGGGTGGGGATTGGGTTAAGTCTGTATTTTTGTACAGTAATGTTGAGGTTTACGATTAATGTTGACAAAAGATGTTGATCTAGGAACATGTCTTACTTGGCAAAATCACGGCAACCCTGCGCCATTACAGCTCGTACCTGCTAAAAAAAAAAACATCTGTTTTGGTTCTCATTATCATGTTTATCGCACTGAAATCATGCATTTTAAACCATACGAGTTTAAACTTCTGATATACGGTATTCTGAGAGCACACATCCGAAGCACACGGAAAGAAAGCGGCTGTCACAGCATGTGAGTACTAAACTAAGTTCTCATTAGGGCCTTTCGCACCGCGGGAACCTTTTCGTAGTACCAGAACTAATTGTGGATCTACCCACTTTTTGGCGTTTTCGCACCACCGGAACTGGGTGCGATTTTAGTACCGGACTGCCTTTTTCGAGAACCAAATTAGCTCCTACTCCGGAGCAGGGTCTAACCAGCACAACTGGTACTAATCGTGACGTAAGTAGACATTGATTGGCCAAACGCGTATGAAAACGCCCTCACCTGCCATGATTTAAAATGCTGTGTAAACATACTGTAAACATTGTGTCAACTTATTTCGCAAGTGGAGAACAGCGATGGACGGACACTGAAGTGCAGGCACTTGTAGCAAATGTAGCACTGCCAGCAACCCTTTAAATGGTACTGGGAAATAGCTCGCGCAAAATCATCCTAGTACTTTAGTACTGTACATTTAGTTCTGGAACTAAGGCCCTAATCACACACGAGTTACAAAAAACAGTCGGTTATGTCTGTGAAGGTAAACGGCTGGGAAATAAATCGCATGTTTATTTTAGATCTGTGTGGCAGCAGCAATATACATGAAATAAATCAATAAATCCACTGCTCTCTTGTCTCCTCTGAGGCTGGGACTGTAAATAGTGTTCTGTGCTCGTCTATGAAGCCAATGACAGAACAGTTAGCATGTTTTGCTCAAACTTTCGCCATGGCATTAGAACTAGTACACCGTTGTCACTTGCGAAATCACAGTAATGGCACCGTGGGTGGAAACTGACAGATTAAGGGGCGGTAATATTATAATGAGATCCCTTTGCCACATCACCAAGGGAGCAAAATCAGACGCGCTCGTTTTCTCAGACGCTTGCAGAAAAAGGCGTACCAAAACAAAGTTACTAGGTTAATCTTTTTCACGTTTCCTTGGTTGGTAGATGCACTGGGGACCTGATTATAGCGCTTCAAACCTGGAATAGTCAGATTTTCATGAAATGTCACCTTTAAGACTCGATAGCTGATAAAAACAAATTGTTTGCAAAACAGAAACAAGCACATTTAAGTTCATTATATTTACATAATGTCAAATCCATTGGAAATTAATGTAATAGTCTGGGTGTCTAAAGTTTCTAATGACTGCAGTGAGGCTGATCACACAGGATGAAGCTCAAATCATAAATGAATCTAGAGATCCAAAAAACGTAATATATTTGTTCATATAACAACATTACACAACAGCTAAATTTAAGAGATACAAATGCGTATCGAACCGAAGGTGGCGAACGGTACGGTTCGGTCTTTTACCGAGAACCGTTGCACTCCTAGATTTGATAATGAGGTGGAGCTGCTGATTTCAAACAAAACACAGAATAACCTTCATTGTGTTGAACCCTCCGCTTGTCATCCCTGGAAGCACGTGGTGTTCCCGATTTACTGTGAAGAATATAGGATTTGTTGAAGAAGTTGAAAATAAACAGATTACTGTGATTGGACATGTGGCTTTATGTATGTTATATGAGACGACAACCTCTGCTGTGTTGAGGCTAGAACGTCCAGAGGCGACATCATTACATAGAGTTGACCTGCAAAAAAAGGAATAAAGGCAAATGAATCTAAAAACTACATAATGTTGATATAATTGCATCATTCGATATACAATATAAGTAAAAGCGGCTAACTTTAAACTTTAAGCTAAGGGAACTACTTTCATAGAGGAAATCCATCACTCTATCACATTTCTGCAACAAACTATCAGAATAACCAGAAACCACATTATGTACACTAGCGTTTTGGGTTGGTAAGATTTTTTTAAATTATTTGAAAGAAGTCTCACCAAGGCATTTAATGGATTAAAATACATTATAAACAGTAAACATGTGAAATACTATTACAATTTAAAATAACTGTTTTCAATTTAATTTTTTTATTTTCAAATTATTATAAATGATAATTTATTCCTCTGTTGCAAAGCTGAATTTTCAGCAGCCATTACTCCAGACTTCATTGTCACATGATCCTTCAGAAATTATGCCGATTTCTTATCAATGTTGAAAACAGTTAATATTGAAACCATGCCACTTTTTTCTAGGATTCTTTAATGAATAAAAAGTTCAGAAGAACAACCTTTATTTGAAAAATGTCTGAACATTTTGTAACATTGCAAGTGTCTTTACTGTCACTTTTGATCAAATATTATGTATCCTTTCGAATTTAAATGGTAGTGTAAATGTAATTTGGCATTACCTGAAGGGGTTGGTTGAGATAGTACCGAATCAGCTGTGTGGAGATTGGCTACCATGTTGCTGGCATTTGTGTCAGAGATGGTGGCAGGATAGTAGTACTGAGTTTCAGAGGTCTCTCCCTCTAGACTCTCAGACTGAGAGATTACAGACTATAAATACATGCATACAAGCACCTACTAACACAACCACCTCTTCGATATAAAAAGGTTTCAGCAACAAGCTCAAATTTCTATTGCTGTTAAAAACAAGTAATACCTGGGTTACATGTGGCATTGTTGCCTGTGATGCTGTGGGAAACCCAGTCACCACACTGACTGCTGCAGCCCCATCTGCCTGTCCTTCTAGCTGCCCGTCAGCCAGGTGGATGACCCGGTATGTTACCTGAACCATGTAGGTCAAGGGTTTAATCATCATATGTCATGATCTAGATTTACTATGCATACATGTGCCACATACCTGCTCCCGTTTCTTCCGTTTTTACAAGATAATTGATTTGCTGATCTGTGGAGAATGCGGCAGCTGACTGGATGGCTGTGATAGCCAGTGGGTCATCTGCTGTTTCAGCAACACCTGGTAAAGCAGCACATACAGGTTATTGTTTAGTAACTCCTAAAAAAACTGGATATAAATTTATCATGTCAATTTCAACATGAAGTTATCCGATTTTGATTTTTTTGTGCAGATGAGAGGTCAAGTATTTGATCAGCAATCTCACTGATGTTGAATGTAGGGGTGATCATCATCATCATCATCATTTTTCCAGTCATGTCCTGGCTGGGATTTCTAAATTGCCTAAAATGTCAGGGTTGTACATTGCCTAAAATGTACAGTCCTCATACATTATATGCATGTGTATTTGCATTGCTTTGACCATTCTTTGCTTCTTCTTGCATGTCACGATTAGTCGATCATGTACAATGCCTGCACAGTATTGGTCTTTTCAGTCATAACCTTCATCAAGTATGAAAACAATAGGAAAATAAAACCAAAACCCATGCATTTTAGGCAATTTAGAAAAGAGGACGCATGGTCACCCTACGGAATCTACTGATGGTTTTTTTCTTGCTAGAGAAAATTTGAAGTTTGTTCTTGGTGTGCAGGTACTGTATATAGCACTAGATGGTGCTATATAAAGCGCTAAGCAGTCACAACTAAACTGAAACTAAAGACTGACTGCCACCCAAGCATTTTTATATTGTTTATTTCCCTAAACACACTATGACCCAGAATGACAAAGGAACTTACGGACAGTTCAATTCAAACATCTCACCGTCTTGCTGTATGGGAGAATCTTCAGGATCATGACTTTTGGGTTCTCTAAACAAACATGCATAAATAATTAAGAAATGTATAATTATAATGCTAGATAACTATAATTATTAATAAATGTTTATATTACAATATATTAAAAAAGCAGTGTTTAAAATTAACATTACAAAAATCATATAATAACTACATTAACACTTGCTTTTTCAGATGATATAAAATAATTTCAGATAACACTGTAGGAGTGCAGATTTCAACAGTATGATGAGCATAAGGTGTGACTCAAGTATGATACTGAAGGTGGAACTCACCTCATATTTTTAAGAAAATTAGTGTCTGGGCTTCAGCTTTGTGGTCCTCAAACGTAAACATTGACTGCAAAAACGATACGATACGAACAATAGCCAGTAACAACAGGAAAGCAAAGGAGCACATTTGATACCTAGACCTTGCACAACTGGACTTGCGTATATCCTGCTCTTACAATTGTCCAACAATTCAAAGCAGGTATTTATTTATTTAAAAAGTCCCATCACACCGTTGTGTTGAGAAACCGCCCGCAAAGCTACACATATTAGCGACTAACTTGGCAAAAAGCAAAACAAGAACTGACACAAATGCCTTTAGCATTTGAGCTATGCAAAAAAAGATGGGTGAAAACCATCCCGCAAAAAAAGTTTGTATCTATGACTAATCCATATTATCGCGCCCCCCCAAAAAAAATTTCCTAGTTACATTTATTAATAGTTACCCGTTTGTCGTTAGCAGCAAACGTCGAAGCGACATATCCTTTCTGCGCATGTGCAGCAGACGTTCTAGTTTTTAATGTTAGTCACTAGAGGGCGCCATACACAACAACGTCATTTTACTTTTTGTGTACTGAAGGAAGTTTATTATGGCATGTTTATAAGGCTGAGAAACAAATAAACATGTTAAAATATGACATCACACCAACATATGATCCCACTATAAACTTTATAAAACATCCAAGGTACATAATTTTACATGGTATTTAAAGGACATGCATCACATGACAGTGTTTATGACATCAGCATCACCCAAACCAGTGCATAAATATGTTGTAATTGAAGGTTCTCTCATTTGAATATGTTCTTCTCTCATCATTTCTGAGGAAGGAAACACACAGATTTCATTAACTATTATTTTTGTTGTAGTACAAGCTAGAGGATTTATCATTTGGTTTTAGGCAAGTGGTGTTGTACCGAGAGATTCATTCTACACTCAGAGAAGCTCTGACAATAGTGGCAAAGTGAGGAAAGTTAGCAGGAGTGCTGCTCCACTGTGCTGCATGACACACCAGCCAGAACAGGTCTGAAGCTTACCTGGAAAGAAAAACAACATAGCAGCCCAATCAACATCTGTCAGTCACTGATTCATTACAATAACAGTCAAATAAAAAATGCACAAAAACAACTAAATAAGTATGTTTCCTTGCCAATTCCAAGCAATTAAGTTGATAATTATAATTAATTTACCAGTGCAGTTGCAAAATCTACTTAGTCAATATAAATATGCAATGCTATTTTATTTAAGGGAAAAGCAATATGTAATAAATGTTAATGTTGTCTTACTCTTGTCCACTACTGCAGTGACTGGCACTGGTGTGGTAGTTTGTTTGATGAAGCAGGTGTAGTTTTTGGGTTTGTCATCTGACAAACCTTTCAAATACAGCTTACAAATGTTATCCGCTATGGAGACAGTGGCACGGTTTTTGAAGGTGCTGTCTGGGGGGCTGCTGGTGTCGGTAGAGCCAACCAACTTATTCTCCGTCATGTAGTAGCAAATCTTCTGGAGCTTGGGGTCTGAAGCTGGAGTGAACTTACAGACCATCTCCAGGTTTTGCTCCTTAGTCAAACAGGATGAAAGCTGAAGGGAAGTCTGGGCAGAAGCAGCACCTAGAAAATTATAACGCCAACTTAGCCTTAAGTTGGAGTCGTTTAAAACTGGTACAATACTTGAATGGCCTAATATACAGTAGATTAGACTGTGATATCTGTTCTGTGTATTTTCATGGGATATCATTGTCAATTAACATCATATTCAAATATGACTTTGGTGTCATTTTGTTGATATTCATGAAGTAAAAAAAGAAAATAAGGAACAATGAAATTACCCAACAGGAAAAATGTAACAAAGACAGTATAGTACATCATCCTGACCACAGGATACTGCATTGTGCACACAGCGGAACCTGGAGAACAAATACAAGACAAGTCACTTACAACACAATAAATGAATACTGATCACCTCAGTAGTGTAAACTATATGTATTTCGCCTACACTCTTAAAAACAAAGGTGCTTCACAATACCATAGAAGACCATTTTTGTCTAAATGGTTCCATAAAGAACCTTTAACATCTGATTACAAAAAGGTAAGAAAGAGATGGTTCTTTAAAGAACCTTTGACTGAATGGTTCTTTGTGGAACCAAAAATGGTTCTTCTATGGCATCGCTTGAAGAACCTTTTGAAGCACCTTTATTTTTAAGAGTGTAAAACATGAACATTAATGACTTTTCAGGACTTCAAGCAAGTAGTAAGTGTTCATCTGCATGCATATTATTACATTTATGCGCATGAGGTTTGAAAAAAGAAAAAATCTATATATTCCTGGCAGTGTTTACAGAAAATTAGCGCTCTCATATAGCCACTGCAGCAAATTTATCAATATGGGTGGGGTCATGACATGTCTGAGCAGTGAGCACATACAAATAAAGTGCCCTTTCGGTCCGATCTAGGTGCCCCCGGACCGCGACTGTGCCCTCGTAACTCCACTACTCCCCTGCCTGCCCCTCCGGAGGTCTGTGCACGCCACTGGTAAAAAGTATTATGGTTACAAAAGCACTCGGATACATGGACTCCACCTGAACCACACACAGCGTTCGGTGTGACTAGACTGGTATGTGAATGTGAAGAACTCCCAAGGCCCCGTGCATCTCTTTTATCTCAGGCAAGACTGAACTCGTGAAGATTCTTTTGAAATGACATGTCTTTGGCAAGAATTCAGCTCGTGCTTCAGCAATAAAAGTACTTCAAATCTATCT